ATTGCAATTATCTCAATTAATTTAGTTTTTGGTTCAACTAAATTCTCAAAGTTTTTATTGCTAGTATAATTTAACATGGAACGCTATCGTGCCCAGTTAAATTATACCAAATTTTGATTAGGTGCTGGGCTTGGTCAAATAATTTTAGAAAATGTAAGACTTTTTACGACTATCCTATTAAGCCTACGGTTGAATGCTTGAGTTGTAGAGAAATGTATTTTTAGTCGATGATCTATAATATATTTGATTCATTCCTTGAATCAAAGTTTTTCTACTATTAATTTTCTCTCCATTTTTATTTACTTCAAATTGTCATTTTCTGTTTAAATCTTTGTAAAGCCAAGTGTTAAAAGTCGACTCTCTTGGGATTCGACCATATTCCACTGTTTCTGCAAATTAATTTTGGTCTGTTAGGAATTCAGATTAATTTTTGCGGGTCTCGATAAACCCGTCAGAGAGCAGCTCACAACCGAGGTACAAAGCTAGATTGGTTGTGAAGGGATTCAATCAAAGAAAGGGCATAGACTTTGATGAGATATTCTCTCCTGTTGTAAAGATGCCTTCAATCTGAGTTGTGCTTGGAATAGCGGCCAGCTTGAATCTTGAGATTGAACAGCTTGATGTGAAGACAACCTTTCTACATGGTGATTTGGAAGAAGAGATTTACATGGAGCAGCCAGATGGGTTTCAGGAGAAGGGGAAAGAGAATCTTGTATGTCGTCTCAACAAAAGCTTGTATGGGTTGAAGCAAGCTCCGAGGCAATGGTACAAGAAGTTTGATGCCTTTATGATAGGGCAGGGATACCAAAGGACTACAGCTAATCACTGTGTGTTTTTGAAGAAATTCTCTGATGGTGATTTTATAATTCTTTTGCTTTATGTCGATGACATGTTGATTGTTGGTCATGATACTACAAAGATTGCCAGGTTGAAAAAGGAGTTGAATAAATCCTTTGCGATGAAGGATTTGGGTCCGGCTAGACTGATCCTTGGGATGAAGATTTCTTGTGACAGACAGAATAGGAAGCTGTGGGTATCTCAAGAGAAGTATATCGAGAAGGTTCTTGATAGATTTAACATGAGCGGTGCTAAGGAAGTCTCGACTCCCTTGCAGGGCATTTTAAGCTAAGCAAAACGCAGTGTCCTAAAAGTGAGAAAGATAAGAAAGAGATAAAAAAGGATCCTTATGCTTTGGCAGTTGGCAGCCTAATGTATGCAATGGTTTGGACAAGGCCAGATATAGCTCATGCAGTTGGTGTTGTTAGTCGGTTTCTCTCTAATCCTGGTAAGGAGCATTGGAATGCTGTGAAATGGATTCTCAGTTATCTTAGGGGTACTTCCAGATTGAGTCTTTGCTTTGGCAATGGGAAGACCATGTTTGATGGATATACAGATGCTGACATGGCGGGTGACCTTGATGGTCGGAAGTCTACATCTGGATACTTGATGACTTATGGAGGGGGAGCAGTTTCCTGGCATAGTAGGTTGGAGAAGTGTGTTGCTTTGTCTACTGCAGAGGCAGAGTTTATCACAGCTACTGAATCTTGTAAGGAAGCACTTTGGTTGCAGAAGTTTCTACAAGAGCTTGGCATGAAGCAAGAGAGGTATGTGGTGTATTGTGATAGCCAAAGCGCTATTCACTTAGCTAAGAATTTCATATTTCATTCGCGGTTAAAACATATTGATGTAAGATATCATTGGATTCGGGATGTACTAGAGTCCAAGGCGTTGTTTCTTGAGAAGATCCATACGGATGACAACGGTGCCAATATGTTGACGAAAACTGTGAGTAGAGAGAAGCTTCTGTTCTGTGGACAGGAAACGGGTTTTGTTTTACCCCTCAATTGAGATGAAGGGGGAGATTGTTGGGCCAGTTTTTCCACAATTGGGCCAGCAGTGATTGAAACCAAATCAATTTGGTTTTTTGGTTTTCTTAACCGACCGGGGAGAACAAAACCCTTTGGGTTTTGGTTTTGATTTTGATATCTTATAAAAGCAGGTTGCCACACCAATTTGGGCGTATGTTTTTCAGCCAAGAGAGAAGGAAAATTAGGGCAGCCGAGAGAAAAAGAAAGAAAGCTAGGGTTTAGTTTTCAGTTTAACCCTCTTCTGGTTAGATCCTTCAATTCCTACTCTGTGATAGGTGTTTTGGAAGAGTATTGTTGTAATCCACCTTTGGTGAAGTCCTGTGTATCCACCGGTTAGTGAAGACGGTTTTCCCATTATTATGATAGTGGAGATTTGACTGTTGTTACAGTCCCGTAGTTTTTCTCGATTTGGGTTTCCACGTAAATTTGTGTGTCTACTTTACTTTATCAGTTCTTGAATTAGTTGCTTGTTTGGTTGTCCTATTTTATTGGTAGTAGGAAAGGAGATTTTCTTGGGGTTCGCTTCCATTGTTTGTTGTGTTTATACCCTTTCCGCCACAACATATTATAATATTTACAGTATTTTCTTCCATACGCTTGCTCAAGGTTTCTTCAAAAACTTCTGCAATGATTTCCCTATATGGTGGAGAAACTTGTTATAATTTAGGGTAATATGTTTTGTCCCTTTACCACAGACTACTCAATTCCAAAACAGCTATCCGCGATAAAAGTATTCCGCGCGGGTTGCGATGGTCGCCGACGGCACGCATTGTAACTGTCAATGCCGGTGATGACGATTTTGTTGGCTTTAGGGGAGTACTACGCACAGTAATGTGAAAAAAGATGTTTTCGAAATTAAAATTACTATCAGTATCAAAGATTGTTTATTGGAAAAACTAGAGATGGGAAAATCTAGAGGCTGGAAACGCACCAAAGGGAGATGACTAATTGCTTTTCTGAAATGTTGGAACAATGTTTCTAGTTTTGATATGTTTTGTGTAAGATTGTTATTACTGTGCACCGGAGTATATGTTCGTGGTAAAATGCATTTTGACCAATATAGTGAGTGTCATTTATAGCACAAATTATAAAATGTAGTATAAATTAAAAAAAAATCATGAAAAATGTAAAGAGAATTAGTATTTTGGAAAATAAGAAGTGATATTTTTCAGGTAGGAGGAAAAGAAATTGTTAAGAGAGATGATTTTATATTAACACCTGCTACCCAATACCATCCGAGTTTCCGGTTACTGGAATATATTAGTTAACGTTACTGATTCTCAATACCACCCGACTTTAAGATTAGAATCCTCCTTTTGATCTCTTTCAACCCTTCTACACGAGGGGTGTTTTGTGGTAAATTAATTTAGTTGTTTAGTCTATCTAAATTTTAACATATTTGAATTAGCTCTTTATTTGGCTTTTCTATTGAAAATTAATCGTTGGTCCCATACCAAATCTACATTCTATCGTGTGACTCATTCACTTTGCTTTGCCTACTAAATTTATGTACAATATTGATGCGAGTAATGAATTTAATTAAGAATACAGTACATCAGCTTTTCATTTTTAGTTGTCTATTAATTTGAACATATATGTGTCTGTTTAACAAATGAAATACATTGATGACCCAAAAAAAAAGTTAATAATTATAAAAATGTAGCTATAAAGTTCCAATACTCCTTCATTTTTTTGAAAAGTCAATTGCATTAAATTGTTATTGCAAACCTATACAAAAACGAACATTGAAACTAGATTGAGCAAAAAGGGGGAAAAAACCAAAAAAAAAAAAGATAAATGTATGGGACTTCATTAATGATTTTTAAAACTAGTTATGAGCGACTCCCGTGACACCTTACGTGACCGGATTCTTTGAGTAACTGGGCAGCCATGGTCCCCAAAAAGCTTAGCAAATTGCCATTGCATCCTTATAAATTGGAGTTCCGAAAATTGGAAGGAAAATTTCTCAAGTAATTTTTTTAACCATTTGCAAAAATTTTGCTATAAAATCTCGTATAATATTTGATGAGAAACAATCGATATGCACAGCTGTCTGATCAGTGGTACTCCCTCCATTTCAAAATGTAAGTCACTTTATGCTCTGCATGTAAACTAAGTAGACAATCATTTAACAATTAATTTATGTTTTAAATATCTATTTTACTCATTATTAACTATTTTGGAACTATAACCAACACTAGATGAAAAATGATTAGCATCATTTATTGGGGGTAAGGTTGAGAAGTTACCCATCATAAAGAGGACTTTCTCTCTCTAAAATGAGAGCTTCTCTCTCTAACCTGGGAGCAACAAAGTCTTTCAACCAAGCACTACCACATTACAACCAACTTTTCACCATATCTGTTTAACAACCTTCAATCTCCAATCAGATTTCTTCAACTTTCACAATTTATTAAGTCAGTTCTTATGAATATATTTGACCGGTTGGGCATATGTGTGGTCATTTTTTGGCTTTGTTTTTTAGAATCCATCTTGTGTCCTTTTCCTCTTCTAGTATCAAAGTCTAGATCATTAAAAAAAGGGGAAAATTAAAGTCTAGACTATTCTTCTTCAACTGCTGTTTTGTTCTATATTTTTCTGGGTATTTTGCCATTTGACCCCATGGACTCCAGATTTTCTGAGGGGTTTTGGTCATACTCCACGAGCTCCCCAACGGGATCTAAACTGTCAGAGTAGAGAATGGATGGACCACTCCCATGGAATGTTGACCCGAATCGGTCCACGCCCTCAAGAAGGGGACTGGTAATTCAAATGCCATGTCGATTTATGGACAGAGCAAATGAGAGAATGGAAAACTGTTTGGTGGGATTATTGCTGGACTATCGTACGTTTAGTAAAAATACCATACAGGTCTACATTTCTCAGTATTAGAGCATGTGGATAACGATCCTCAGAAAAGAAGAGTGTTTTTACGTCCTTCACTTCATATCTCGGAGCCTAATGTTTGCTGTCCTACGGAATGGTCCGTATGCGATATCCGGAGCTCTTTTGGTCCTAAGGAGGTAGAGGCCAGAGATGATTTGTAAGAATCTAAGAGATGCTCATATTTTGGTCTGGGTACAATTTGTCGGAGTTCTAATCGAATATTACGACGAGAATGCGGTCCAGATGATGGCGGGACTAGTTGGTGGAGTGAAAGAGGTGGAAGTGGGGAGGTTTTGGAACTGTCGGACTTTATCGGCAAGGGTATGGGTGAGGGTTGAAGACCCCTTGGTGCCAGGATTCTATTTTTCTGTAGGGGGGGTAGAAGGGTTTGGATACAGCGTGCGTATGAACGTATACATAAACTGTGTCGGAGATGTGGAAGGGTGAGTCATACAGTACCCATTTGCCCTATTGAGAACAATCGAGAACTCAATAGAATCCTCTATGACCATTTCTGTAATGATGCAAAGGGTTCACGATGACGCCAGCTTCAAAATGTACACAGCGGTGATAAGAGCTCATCGCTACATGCTGGAGAGGAGGTTCACCCGGTTTCCGGAGAGCTATGTACAAGAGTTTAACGTCAGATATTTGCAGAACCAGATGGGGTGGATGGCCAATGGCTTCCGTTATGAATTGATACTTGCAGGGGGTTCGTTGACTCCACTGATGTTGGAAGCTCGCAGAAATGATGAAAATGGGGAAGTAAGTCACCGTCGCCAGCCAAGATTGGGTAATAACGATCAGGCGAGTGGGAGTGCCCGCAGCTTGGATTTCGATGAAGGCACTTCAACGTCTCCAAGAAGAAGAGGACGCAGTGGGACTATGCACAGTCAAAATTTGGCTGGCTGGCTTATCGAATCCCCAGACAATGCTAGAAAACATATTAGTTCCAACGGTGGGGGACATCTGGATGAAGGGATCACGTGATAACGTAAAAACATATACACTTTTAGCAGGCATTTCTTACTCATTCCTACTTATAATTTAGTGTTAATTAGTTAGAATTAGTTTACTTTTGGGGTGATTTTGCAGTTCAGGTATCTCAAAGGGCCAACGTAGAAAATTAGCATAAAAGAGGACCAAATTGCACAAAAGGACATCAAAATGGACAGGAATGGAAGCTGCTGAAATTGAACTCCTGGAAAGAAGATTGATAGTAGAGGGACTCAAGTTGAAGACTATGTAGTAGTTACCTCAATAAAGAAAGAAGAAATGGCTGCTGCTCTGCTGTCAAGTTGCTGCTGCAGTTGCTATTGCTGCTGTCAATCAGGAAGAACCAAGGCTGAATTCTTGCTACCAAAGGAAGGAATTTCTTTGACATAACTACAAATTATAGCTGCTGCAAGTTGAAGAAGAGAAAGAGGGAGAATATGTGGAAAATAGCAGCTACAACCTGCTACTTACCAACTGAGACTGCTGCTGCTGAATTGATGGATTGGCTGCTGCAGTCAGTTGAGAAATGTGTTGCAAGTGGTCACAGGAAACAAGGAAGGAAACGGCAGATAGATTTGGGCTGAATAGGGGGCTGAAACACAATGATGGAAGGAAGCATGCTGCTGATGCTGCTGCTTGCTACTGCTACTAGTTGAGCTGCTGCAGATGAAAGAATGAAGAAATAGAGATTTGTGGCTATAAATTAGAGAAACTGTGTCGAAGAAGAAGACTAAAAGAAGGCAATGATGAGAGGAAGGTAGCTGATTGTGGCTGAAGAGAAGGAGTATCCAAAGAGAAGACTACAACTTGCCAGCTTGACAAGTTGCTGAATAAACAAACCTCTACTACTACAAGTTGCTGCTTCATGTTTCTGTTGCAGAGAATAAGGCCAGAAACCAACCAATTCAAGCTTCTCCAAATCTCTATAAATAGACAACCAATAGATGTTAGAAAAATAACAGATTGGGTAGTGACATTTAGTCACAAAGATAGTAGTTAGGTAGTTAGTTAGTTGGTTAGAAATAGGGTAGTAGCAGGAACAAGGAGGCAGACTGTCACTTAGTCAAGTGGCGAATGCCACTCGCTATAGTGAGCAGACAAAAACTGTCCTTTCTAACATCTTCCCTTTCTTTCCTCCAACCTTTTGATCTAGATTCATGTCTTATCTTTTGTATTTTATTGCTCTCATGTTTAACTCAATAAACATGAGTAGCTAACTCAGTTAAGGGTTCAATCCCTACTATCTTTATGTGAAGGTTTTGATTCAGTTTCCTTAATGAGATGTTGTGCCTTGATAAGTGAATTAATTAACCTTTTAATTAACTTGATCACTTAATTAAATGTGCTTGCATGGTTATGAAGATCTGGAAGAGGGAGTCTAACCTTAGAACTGCTTAATCTACTCTATGACAATGGAGGAAATCTACCCTGCGGTTCCAAATATCAACAGAAGTTAGGTGAATGGCATAGGCGATCAAAGAGGGCTTAAGAACTCAATGGCTTAGATTAATGAATTATTCTGACTGAAAAGTAGGTGATTTAGATAATCTAGGACTCTTTATTCTGTCTAGAAGGAATTATAAAGAATATAAGTGCCTGATCGAACAACTAATCATACACTACAGGAATATTTGAATCAACACTGGATCATAAAGGTAGGAAGGTGATTGACCCTTCTGTCTCTTCACTCTATCAAGTGACTATTTTCACTCTCCTAAGTAACAATCTGTTCAACTCATTTTCTTTCATTTCTGCACTTTAATCAGATTTTGAGCGGTTGACTGCCGTCTCTGTGGAATGACCCTACTTACCACTAGCTAATAATTTTAAGTAGGTTTATAAATCTTTCTTTTGAGAAGTGTTTCAACGATAACTCCACCAAAAATGGCGCCGCTGCCGCGGATGGCGTTAAAACTCCACCAAAAAGGGCGCCGCTGTCAGGGATGGCGTTAAAAATCCTTAAAGTCTGATTATTGTGTTCTGTTTTTGTTCTTTTTAGTTTTTCTATTTTTAATTAAATTCACTCACTCAAATCACAAATCTTGCTATTGTTATTCTTCATGTTTTGATTACTGGTCTATGACTAGAAGCAATCCATCAGGAGAGCTAAGTTTTGAGCCAGAGATTGAAATCACGTCAAGGAGATCTAAAGCCTTGCAAAACAGAGAAGCTGCTACTCGTGTTCTTAAAAACCAGAAGTAAATGGCAGAAGTAGCAGCAGCTGATCAGCCTCAAGAAAAAGAGCTACAACCAGCTCCACCCAGACTGCTAAGAGATCATTTTGTACCCAAGAGGAGGAAGTGCAAACTCTACTGGTGTAAAATGATGTTGCAGCAGAGAACTTTGAGCTCAAAACTCAAATGATTTAATGGGTGCAAGCTACTTGTCCTTTCTATGGACTACCTAGTGAAGATCCCAATAAGGACATCAGGAAATTCCTGAGACTGTGCAGCACTTTCAAGATTCAAGGTTTGTCCAAAGACGAGGTTTTCTTGAGACTGTTTCCATTTACATTGCAAGACTTAGCAGTAAAACGGTTAGACGCTCTGCCCAACAATTCAATCAACTCCTGTAATAGACTCAGACATGCATTCCCTACAAAATTCTTCCCACTGTCAAAGCTGCTGCTTTAAGATTAGCCTTCATGACTTTTCAGTAGCATGGGAGAGAGACTCTTTATGATGCCTGGGAAAAATTTAAGGATCTGATGAGGAAGTGTCCTCAACATGGGGTAGAAAAGCCAATGCAGCTCTGTATTTTCTACAATGAATTGCAGCAAGCCTCCAGAGAATCACTTGATTCATCTTCTGGAGAAGCATTCATGATGAAACATGTGGAAGAAGTAATCCAGCTACTGGAGAATATGTGTTCTAACCACTTCAGATGGCAGAAAGAGCCTAGAGCTATAGCTAAGGAGGCAAGAGTGTTGGAGGTAGATGCTACAACTCGCTTGCAAGCACTGATAGGAGCCATCTCCAGTGAGATATTAAAGCTAAGAGCTGACATCAACAAAGCAAAGGTTGATGTACGAGAAATCTGCACAGGATCTCACCCCAGCTCTACCTGCCAAGCCACTATGGAAGAAGTTGAGTTCGTGAGGCAAGAAAATGAAAAGGGAGGCTTCAACAATTACAAAAATTGGAGGCCACGGCAGAATAACAACTGAACCAATCAGCAGTCGAGCTATGAGAGATCAGCTCAACTACCTGGAATTCAGAATCAACCATTCAGAGTCAAGGAGGAAGACTGGATCAAGGTTGGTAATGTCCTTGATAGTCTTGACGCAACTGTGAAAGATATGCAAAATCAAGTAGCACAAATGGCAAGGAACATACCAGACAGACCTGCTTGCACTCTTCCAAGTGACACACTCGAAAATCCCAAGAGAAGGGAAGCACACAGCACAGATTAGGAGGCTGAGATGCGGGACAAGGAGGTGTTGCAATTGAAGGAACCTTAGTAAGGAGCACCAATCAGTCTGACATGAGATGTTAAACTAATGCGCTGCTTGGGAGGCAACCTAATAAGTTAGTTTGTTCTTCTGAGTTTTGCTTCAATTATCTTTTGTTAATTAATAAGTTTATTGGTAACAATCAGAAAGAGAGGAATAGCCCTTGTCAGAAAATTTTTAGGTGGAGATTGTGTGGATGGTTAACCTGAAATGCCTTGTCGACTATGATATAGTCAGAATGGCAATATTTAAGTTTAATTATCTACACAGAGCATAAAATTTAACTTTCATCTCAATTGGGCGAGTGATAGAATCACTTTCGTGATTGAGATGATTTATCAGAATAAAATTGCAGTTTAAACAGTCACCAAGTGTTTTGGTCAAAGAGAAACATGAATGAGGGAAGATTAATTTAAAATAACGGGAGAAATTAGAGGGTAGAATATTCTAGAGTGATGCTTGGGAAACTGGAATATTCCAACTCGAAAACTGACACCCCAAGCCCCCATGAATTTCTATAGCCCCCTTCTATCTTCTAAAATCTTCCATCAGTTACCACCGGCAAAACCCTAGTCCAAAAATATACTGCAATCCTCAATATACGAGACTACACATGGCCAAAGTAGGCAATCCGTAGAGCAGAGGGGTGTACAGAACTCTAGAACCAACAGACAACCACCAACTGCCGCAGCGGTCCCACGAACAAGAACTCAAAGGAGAGCCCACTGGACCATACAAGAGAGAACGGTGATATGGCAAGTAGGAGCCAGGATGGGAATGACGGATGATCATCAAAAAGGTGGCAACCTTCCCAACAGATCTGCCATCTTACATTGTTGAACATCACTGGGAGAGACTCTGTGATGTTCCTCTAAGGGCAAATCTCAGTGTGGTCAGGGAAGTTTACCGCAATATGAGAGAAGCACAGGGTGATATTATGGTGGTAAGGAGCAGAGTAGTCAACATCAATACGACAACAATCAGAGAGTTGCTGCAATTGTCAGAGATAGGTTTTCTCCATGAAGAAGCACTACACCAGATAATGGAATTTGATCATGAAGAAGAGTTGTTCAGCATGTTGAGTGATGAGATGGATGTCATCTGGACATTCAAGCATGGCAACCTCCGCCACTTTCTAGCTTCAGATTTTAGACTAGAATATAAACCCTTGTTCAACTTTATCTGCACCAACCAATCGACATCGGAAAAAGATAACTTATGAAGCGGCAATACTACTGTATGCAATAGTTACCAACACACGAGACGATGCAGCTAAAGTAATCAGAGAGCAGATGGGCATCTGTGCTTCCAACCCTAGAAGGAACTCCTGGTTCTTCCCGGTGCTCATTACCAGACTCATGGAATGAGCCAATGTGCAATTTCTACCCACAGATGTCAGGAAGGAACTTCAACAGCCATGGCATCTGGGCAATCCACCATATCCCTCTATGAGGAGATAGAGCAACAATCACCCAGGGAAGTCCTCTGCTTTTCTTTTTCTTTCTTTTTTTTTAATCTTCTGTTTCTTTTAATCAAGTGTGTA